ATGACATTGATAATCTTGAAGGTAGGCTGGTGGTCGATGATTCCTTCTAGTCCGAAGAAGATATGCAGACATTGGGGGTGCTGAGACTATAGCAGCAGTTTCAGATGAAGAAACAGGTGCAGAAATGGCAGCCAAAGGACTCCCCCTGTCTGTGGGCACCGTGTCAGGTTGAGGAGCATCATCAGAAGAAGCAACGAGCAGTGGTGTGTCATGCGTATATGGGTCATACAGAAGTGCAGGTGGAGAGATAATTGGTGTGATGACCGGTGAAGGATCATGAGCAGCGGAAGCAAATGGAAGACGGTCTTCAAAAAAATGTACATCACGAGAAATAAATGTTTCCTTTGTATCCAAATTGAAGACTCTCCAACCTTTTTTGTTCGAAGAATAGCCAATAAAAACGCACTTACGAGAACGGGCATCAAATTTATCAGATGGTTTGGGTAAAACCGTAGCATAGCAAAGACAACCAAGTAACCGAATATGATCATAGGTTGGTGGTACGTTGTGCAGAACTTCAAAATGACACTTTCCTTTGAGTAAGGTAGTGGGAATCCTATTAATCAGATGGGCAGCAGCGAGGATACATTCTCCCCAAAAAGAAAGAGTAAGGCGGCCATCAAAGCGTAGAGCACGTGCCACATTGAGAATGTGACGATGGCGTCGTTCAACCCGACCATTCTGTTGGGGCGTGTATGGGCATGAAAATTGATGAAGAATACCACGGTTTGCGAAAAATGAACGCAAAGGAGAAAAGATAAATTCAGTGCCATTATCAGATTGAACACTCTTAACCGTGAAGTTGTATTGTGTTTGCACCATTTTAATAAAATTAATTAACGTAGAACAAGCTTCATGTTTGTCGCGTAGGAGATAGATCCATACAAAACGGCTACAGTCATCCACAATTGTAAGAAAATAACGTGCACCTGAAGATGAAACAGTGTGATATGGTCCCCATAAATCACAATGAATTAAATCAAAAGGTTGAACACTATGCTTTTTATTAATAGGAAATGGAGTACGAGTTTGTTTGGCTCTACAACAAACATCACATGGAGCCATTTTATTTGAACCATAAACAAAAGGAAGCAAATATAGATAATGCTGTGAAGGATGTCCCAAGCGTTGATGCGACAGAGTAGATGAAGTTCCACCAGAGACCTTATTTGCAGATACTGCTTGATGAAACACATACACCCCTTCATGTTCAACACCCTTGCCAATCGTCCTCCTCGTCTGTAGGTCCTGTAGAAAACAAGTGGAATCAGTGAATAAAGCAATGCAATTGCTGCAGTGTATTAACTGAGATAGAAATTAAATTGCATGTAAGGGATGGCACATAAAGAACGTTGGTAAGAGACAACATAGATGTGAATTGCACATCCCCACATTGAACCTCAGTGGTACGGGTTCCATTGGGTAAACCGACTGAGCACAGAGGAATAACTCGGATATTAGTGAGGAAGAAGAGTGTGCCAGTCATATGTTGTGAAGCCCCGCTGTCCAGAAGCCAAGGATGTGGGATGGAAACTATACCCGATAATTTGTCAGTTGTTGCTTTAGATGAGACAACAAGAGACATTAATTGTTGAACCATATCGGGAGTAAGATCAGTAGCAGACAATGGTTTTGGGACACCAGTAGTAGGAGGTAATGCATCCGAGTAAGTGGCATGAGCAGAAGCATGGGCAGGACATCCTGGGTTGGAGCGGCCGTGACCATGTCCCCTTCCAGCAGACATGCGATCAAGGTAACCATGAAGTTTGTAACACCGGGAAACGTCATGATTGGGATGTCCATAGTGGGAACATATGATGCGGGGCTTGGAAGGATCCAGTGGTGTAGTGTGGAGAGCACAACCGAGAGCATCAGATGGAATTTCAACAGTCCAAACCATAGCCTTATGTGATTCTTCTTGAATTACCATAGCAAAAACACGGTTGATGGTGGGGAGAGGATTGCTGTTGAGAATTTGAGTAATGAGAGTACCATATGTATGATGATCGAGTCTGATAAGGAATTGATAGACTCGATCATGTTCGAGTTCAGTAGTGACAGATTTTGTAAAGGCACACGTATCACCAGATGCACATGCAGTAAGCTTGCGGCTAGATTCCAGTTCATCCCAAATTGAGCGAAGTTTAGTGTAGTAATCAGTAACAGGTACACCATTTTGCTTCATAATGGCGAGAGAAGATTTGAGAAAAAAAATACGAGGAATGTTTGCAACGGCAAAACGTTCCTTTAGATCGTCCTATAGACTCTTTGCAGTGTCGAAACATTTGATGAATGGCTGCATCTGAGGATCTATGGTATTGTGAATCCAGCTATTAATCATGGAGTTGCACAGGGACCAAGCATGAGCTTCATCAGAGGAATCATCAGAGGGTTGCTTAACGTTGTTATCAACAAAGCCAAGCTTATTTTTGGCTTTCAAGGCGTTGCTCATGAGTTTGGACCAGCTTTCATAATTGGATTGGCCACGTAGAAGGACAGTAGTGAGAATAACCCCAGGGTGATCAGAGGGATGAAGGTAAAATGGAGATTTTGGGTCGGTGATTTTAAGGGTGGGAGTGGAGGCAGCCATAGTGGGAAAAAAAACTGACTTTAGAATCGTCTAACTCTTGATACCATAAAGGAAGTTGTTATCGAATGAACAACTTAACTTTCCATTCCTGTATTGGTCATTTAAATACACCTATATCAGCAACAAACTATAATACAGATACCCATGAATCTATTCCTAAGATAAAGGAAGGTCTGCAACTAAATTACAAACATAGAAAAAACCAAGTAACAAACTAACAAACCAAGTAACATACTAACAAGTGAATCCTATCGTAATAATCAGTATAAGTATCTAAAAATTTAAATTAGTATATGTAAATCTCCTCCTCCTTGACTTAACCAATCAAAAAACATGAAAAGACTAAAATGAAATCGAATATATCCGAAAGCGTTTAAAAAAAAAACAAAAAAACTAAGAGGGTGTATTGGATTGGTATTTCAAAGGATTTTAATGAATTTTTTGTGGACAAAAAAATCCATTGATATTCAATTATACTTTTAAAGGATTGAAAAAAATCATGTAGTATTCGATTAGGATTTTAAAAGATTATTTTAGAATTCGTACAAATTCGTTGGTATTCAATCAGGATTTTAAACAAAGGAAAAACAATCTTGTGATTTTCAAAAATATGACGATTTTAATGGATTTACTATTTGTGTGGATTTTGTGAGACTTTTTAGTAAGAAGTATAAATATGATGCATCTCTCACAATATCACCCTAACTCCTAGGATTTCTTGAAATTTCTCTATTACAGTATCTTCTTCTTCCTTTGGCAGGTAAACCTGCGCAAAACCGGGTTCCGCCATGGGAGCTTTGTCAAAGCTCAAAAACAGCAGTTTTATTTAGCAATTTTCATTACAAAATAACCCATAAGCAACAAAACAACAATATTCTAATATAATCCATCTCAAAAACAGCAAATTTTTTAGCAATTTTTGAGAGTTTTTGGAATTTTAAAAAATAATTTTTCAAGTTATGGGTTGCAAACAAAAAAGTGTGAATTTTATATTAAAAATAACATAAGACAGTAGGAAAACAACATGGGAACTAAAACCCTCAAACCAATTTTTGTTTTAAATCAATGAAACAATATCAATTTAGAAAAAGATTGAAACTTTCATAATATAAATCCTATATTTCGTAACAATACATTCATGAATAAAATTTCTTCGCTATAGGAAACGATTTCAAATAATTTTTGCGTTAATAGATAACTAAAAACTTGTTTTTCAAAACCCCCAAACAATTTAAGGTTTCAATGTATCGATTGAAAATAATTTGAAAATTTTTCTAAACTTTCATGTAACAAAACTCAGAAATTCATATTCAATTTTTTTTAGAATACTCGATGAAAACATGCATATAATATATGGTTAGAAAACTCTTATAACATAGAACAAAAATCCTAAGATTTTCAAAATCAATTGCAAAATATTCCAAACGAGATTTTATCATGAACTTTAAGTTCTGTATGCAAATATAAAATTATTTTAATAAATAATAAAAATTAGGTCTTATAATCATATATGCATAGCTCTGATATCAAAGGAAGAAGATAATTTTTAACCCATTGGTCAAACCCCATAACAAGAACGAGAAAATATTAATGCGTGGAGGACTAGTATAGCTTTAATTATGTAAGGAGTTGTTACTTAGTAATTGTGATGTTTGTTAAAAGTTATATTATGTTTTACTTATTGAGAAAATTATATTAAGTTTTACTCTCTTTTTTATTATTAATATCATTGTATTTTTTTGTTATTTTTTTATTGACTCTTGTACTTTGAAATATTTTAAATTTATATGATTTTTTAAAATCTTATAAATCTATATTATCATTTTAAACTTATAAATTATATTAAAATCCTTTAAAATACAAAATCTTATGAAATCTTGATTGTAAAAAAAATCTTTTAAAAAAGTCTTTAAAATTCCTCTAATTCTAAATATTCTTTTAAAATTTAAAAGATTTTTTATCTTAAAAAATCTTTTAAAATTCTAACCTAATACACCCCCTAAAATAAGTAAATTCGGGAAAAGCTAAAACAAGTGTTTTACTCTGCATATATCTGTGGGTGGCGATTCACATACGACTTACAATAAATTGTATCATCAAATATGAAAATTTGGATATTCCTCATCTTATTGTTGCAAGCCCACGGATAAAGAAATTAATTTTATAACACATGCTTATGCTAAATTATTTTCAACAATAAGACTCGGTAGTTAATGACATTTGTAAAATTTGAATTTCCTACAGTGCATAGAATAAAGCACGTAATTCAAACCCTACTTTTGAAGGTAAATTTGCTTGTTGAATGGGCAGCTATGTTCATCCCCGTGTCATTTCCTCATCACCTCTGTTCCCCCAATTACCTCAAGGAACGGGTACAATTACTATTAATAATGCAAATAAAAATATGGATCATGGCATGAATGAACTAGGGAAATAGGGAAGGGAAGACGAAAATGGGACGATATATTTAAGTCTGCATGGGCAAGTAAATGGTCAGTAAAATGATGATACATGTACATTCCACAACAAAAAGGTAAACCAAAAACCAAAAGCTAAACAAAAACAGATTGGAGAAGATACACATATGTTGATACAGGTGCATGATGAGGAACATACACAAATTCATTGTGTGATTTGTATGGGACTCAGAACTCCCTCGTTGTAGTATATGTCACAACAAAGCCGCACAAACAGAGCGGAGCTAGAACGTAATTTCGCAAGGTGCATGAAATGTTCTTCCTCGACATATGGGTTCAAGGTTTTCACCAGCATATGAACAGAGTGGTGACACTTCAACACCTGAAAGGAATGAAGAGTTAGATAAGATAATCATTTTTCTAGCAAAAAATATCCTAATCTTTTATCTCTTTCTCACAGACACTCTCCATGTATATATATCTGTCAGTAGGAGCCCCCGCTGCAATTATATTTTCTTCTCTCTTGGCAATAAAGAGGAATAAATTACCTGTTGCATATAAGGGCACTGAATGTGTTAAGAAGCCACCTGCAGCAACTACCCAGCGAGTATGGAGTCGAAGAACAAGCAGTTTTGCACTATCTGGAGTGTCAACATTGGTGGATCCATTTGCATTTTTTACTGGTGCAAATTCCTCCTCCCGTAATACCTGAACATGGATGCATAAAATATGCAAGAATAATATTAGCATCCTTAAACAAGCATCATGCGAGGAAAGAAATTGCTCAATTTCATGTAAAAAATAGAATTATAGTCACCTCAAAAAGCGCAGTCGTAGGAGCATATGGAAAAGCATCAAATATAAACTGTTCAAGTTTTAATCCCATTGTATATCCATGTATGGAAGGGATTTTCTTCTCTGCAAGATGATAACTGCACATAAAATCAACGCATGAATCAATATCTATAAAATGCCTAAAAGGTGGCAAATTATATGGGTCAAAAGTGGTACGACACCACTTTTGACTTCTTCCACCTTTAAACTTCACTAACTATTGTGTTCAACTGCTGATAAGTCAGGCATCTTTGGGCATCAAAAGAATTGTTAATAGTCTTCCTAAGTAGTCCATGGAATCTGATTAAACTAGTGAATTGGATGATCTTTTCTCTAACATCAAATTGGTTCTATAACAATATAACATTTTTTTTTAGCTTGAATTTGTTTATATGACAATATGACATGAAGACTAAACGGTCACGTGTCTTGCAATAAATAAATGTATTCACTCTTGGAATTCAGATAACAATGAGAAGCAAGGTGTAAAGTGAATTTCTGGATGGGAGCAGAATTGCAGAGAAATGGCCGAGAAGAAGGGAGAGAGGTGAGAATGAGAGAAAAATAGAAAGAAAGTAATTGAAGAAGATAACATTGTGATTGCTTACTTTCCACGTAGTCAATTGGCTTTCTTATAGCTGATTATACCTTGTTCCAGCAGATTAAAATAAATTAACTAATTTGAAATCTAACTAACAATAACTATAGAGATAACTAATTTCAAATATAACTACTGATAACATCAACCAAACTAACTGAGATAACATAATTTGAATTATAAACTAAGCTTTCAGTCCCTGGGACAGTAACAAAAGATGGGACAAATAATGGGGGCAACGGGGGAGTGAAAGAAGGCAATACACATACATGCTGTCTTTTTCAAGGCCATTTGCCACTTGGTTTAGAAAATCCAAAGTAAACATGTGTAAGCAAACCTGAAATCACAAGGTTAATAAGAAATCTGGAAAGCCAGCAAAAATAACCAATTTCAAGAGTAAGACGCAAAAGTTTTTATGGTCTATACAAGAATACCCATGCTTAGCATTCATCTTACTCAACAACAACAACAGCCGAGTCTTATCTCATTAGTGGGATCAGCTTAATGGATTAATTGACAACATCGAGTCATTGTCATCAGATCTTTATAAATATCCTGTTTTGGTTGATAAAGAAAATTGAGTTATGATTTATGAGACCCTAGGTAGCAACTACAAAGATGCATATTAAAGAAGACCAGAAGGACTAATTATATCGTTCAAAAAAAATTTAGTACATAACCTAAAAGCATGGATATATGATAATAAGAAACAAAACTAGATGATAATTTTCATTATCATAAGATTCCAATAGTTTGTAACGGTGTATGCCTTTTCACAAACTAATAATAGATAATCGTATCAAAGCATAAAAGCTCCTGTTTGGATCTCAGCATGCCATTATCAAAAATTAATACTTTTGGTTTCCACTTCATTAGTAAGTGGAGGGTGCTAACTCGTCAACCCCTAGCTTTCCATTCTTGAAGATCATAGCCAAAATTCTAAGGGTAATGATCCTCAAAGCTTATAGCAAAGTGCGAGCAGAAGGCAGAAAACATGAGGTTATGTAGAGGAAAAACAGACTAACATTACTCCAACAAAAACGAAGACGGCCAGTCGCTTGATTGACTGCAGAAGCTAATGATGGGTCCAATTCGCTGTACTCAACTACGGTGAGAGGACCACCTTTCCCTCTCCGTACAAAAACACCAACCTTTTCTTGTGGATATGCCTGTCATATAATGACAATATTTAATATGCATAAAACATGAGAAGCACAAAATTAATTGAATTATTTAATAAAAAACCCTATTTATCATCTGCCTTACAAATCCTGAATATTACAAGCATCACAGGAAGATATAAAGTTTCAAACATTAGAATTAAATTAATACACAGGTATATATTTTTATGCATGCCTGCCTCCAATGTTTTCCTAAGTTAGCATATGAACAGGTAGCTTTTCCTTAAGAGCTGTGCAGGATCATAAACATGTATATGGGAGAGAAAAAAAAAGTTGATGTAGCATGGGAATGAAACTAAATAGTGGTCTACAATAAAGAACTTGATTTGGTAACTCAAAGTTTTACCAGTCAAATTGCACTTGTTCAGATTTAAATTAATTAATTGACGCTGACCTTGTGTTTAAGTTCTATTCAATAAACAAACTTTTGAGCTAGGCAGATCTGGAATTCATTGTCCACCGGCCTAAATAATTGGGCCCTGGAATTTTATTTTATTTTGTGTTATGCTTTCAATACTTGGAGTGTTGGGATCATAAGTTGGGTCCAAAACTCAAATCCAATGAAAATTATTAGTTTGTTGGTAGGAAGGGAAGAGAGGAAATGAGAATGTTAAGGTGGATGTGTGTTCATATAAAGATAGATAAGATAAGAAATAAAGATATCCCACAAAAAGTTAGAATACTAATGCTGAAAGAAAAGATAAGAGAGCATAAATTGAGATAAAAAAAAGTTTGTTATTGAGAGCATTACATAAAGAAAGGAAGAGGTTGGACAAAATTTACTTTGGGGAAAAATAATAAAACAAGACTTCATGATGTGGGAAATATATTGGCATGCGATTTGTCTTAGAACAAAGTAGAGGAAAACTAATAGTATTGTGGAAGGGTACATATATATACAGAAAAATATTTCTACAGTTACTGCAAATAAGTTATCTGCATTTACTTTCAAAACAACGTCGTTTTGAGATTGAAATATTAAAAAGAGTAAATACCCTTTTTGGTCCTTAGCAAATTTTCACGATGCCCGCTTTAGTTCCTAGCAAATAAAAGGCTATTCGTGGTCCCTAAGAAATTCAAAATGGACCCATTTAGTTGAAATCGCGGTCCCTCACGAATTCAAAAAAGACCCATATTAGTCCCTCAAAAGGACTAAAATGGGTCCACTTTGAATTTTTTAGGGACCACGAATAGCCTTTTTATTTGCTAAGAACTAAAGCGGGCATCGTAAAATTTGCTGAGGACCGAAAATGGTATTTACTCTATTAAAAAAATATAATTATAAAGACTATAATAATCCTGAAATAAATTAAAATTACAAAAACACCATGATTTCTGCCCCAAAACGACGTCGTATTGGCTTACTGTAGATAACTTATCTGCAGTAACTGCAGAAAAAGCGAACCCATATATACACACATATATATATAATATTATTTTTCTTATTTTTTTATTTCTTTTTCCATAATCTATTCTTGTTTCTATTAGGGTTCATCGATTGTCAACCACAACTAATTTGAGATAAAGATCATATTGATGTTGAAGATTGTCTTTACATGAAGCACAAATTTTTTTATTCAGTTATTATCTCAAGCAAGAATGGTGGAGGGTTAGACCCGCTGTTATTCCTATGTTCCAGATGGTCCCTTTTTAGTGCTTTTCCCCTTCATTTCCCCCACTTCTTCTTGTCCCTTTCTTTTTTACTTTTATTTATTTATATATACATATATTGTTATTTTATTTTATCTTATTTTATATTTTTGTTTTTTGTTTTTTTTATTTATTTATTTTTGGCTTTTTTACTTTTTTATTTTTTTATTTTTTTTATTTTTTTTTATTTTATTTTTATTTTTATTTTATTTTTATTTTTTTTAACTTTTTTTCAACCGTTTTGTATCTTTCATGTGGGTTCATCTACCACCGACCCCAATTAATTTGGGATAAAGGTGTTGTTGATGTTGATTATCTCAAGCAATATCAACTGATTCATAGAATCAAGGGGACATCCCTGGAAAAAAACAATTCAGGCAGAGATATTATCAACCTACTAGTTCGTCACAGCATCCATCTAATCATACACAATCATAATTTAATCTACAACTAGACAACAAATGGGTATGTTGCCCATTTATTCAAGAATAAACTCTTCAAATACAATGTTCATTATTTTCAGAGAAAAGGGAAATCGATACAACTAGAAGGTTTTCTTTCTTTACACACAACTGAGAAGTAAAATTGATAATTAACTTGACTTCTCAAATTCAAAGATTATTTCACAGAGATGATTAAGTGACTAGTCAGGAAATACTTAATGGATTAGTTACCTTGCGGACAACTTTTGCAGCAGCAGCTACCCCTTTATCAATGAAGTAACCCAAAAAGGCTGGATCAGCAACTCGAACCTGTTTCACAAGTCCTGGTCAATACTGTCTTTAAATAAGAAGTAAGCACTGACCAGGAAAACTGACTAATTCAATAGACAAAATAGACAACAAAGAAAATTCACCAGTGCATTGTCGACTCCGTAGCAGTCAATATACTTAATTCCTTTTGAGGCCATATCCTCCAATAGTTTGGTACATTTAAGAGCTGAACAAAAAACAAAAAGGTATTCCAATATATTCAAATTTGACCAACCAATATGTAAAGATATTAAAAAAATACAGTCTATGTCAGCATTGCATATTAGAATACGATAAAAAAGAGATCATATAGCCATAAGATACCTGAATACACTCCACCATTCCCATCAGGAGCCTTTGCTACCTGGCTTTAAAAGTTTAAAATATTAAACCACCAGACAATTAAAAATAGGGTCATAAACAAAGGAACTAGAGGGTCAAAAGGTAGCAACATAGAATTAAAATTAGATAGGAAAAACTGTATGTTGTAAATAAAGAATATCTCCTCCAGTGCTCATTTCCTAAATTTTCTCATTCCCTAAATTTTTTTGGCCTGAAATCCCCCGGTTTCCAGAACCTATTTTGGGTCCCGACTAATCAAAAGTCAAGCAAGGTGGACAACTTAAGGTGCTAAATTGTCCTTCCACCTATTTTTTCCAATTCACAAGACTTAAAACTCAGATCTTGCTTAAGGGGGATCGAGCTCCTTGCCATTCGAAACAATAATAAGATACCTTTATATAACTCCTATAGTAGATACTCTTTCCCCAAAAGTAGAAAAAGTGAGGCTCATATGGCATTAATCATAAAGAGGTGGGTAGAATAAATGCAAGTACGTGGGTTACTTTATTCCAACTTTAGTAAGTGATAAACTGAGTCTACAGTGCTACTTGCTACGGGAGATCTGAAAATATTTTCCATTTACAGATCTTAAAATAATTGAAAAGGGGGGAGAGAGAAAAATAAAGGATTTTTAATATTTTAGTCTTCTATTATTATTATTATTATTTAAATGTCTTAATTAGCAGCATACAATAAAAATTTAAAAAAAAAATGTCATGACATAAGAAGCCTAGCATATTCCCATCTAACTAATCATAAGCTTCTCTGTTGTGAATAATTTGTATTCTTGTCTCTTGCTTTCATGAGCTTGATATTCAGATTGATAAGCAAATAGAGGGATGGATATAAAGGGTTAGTAAAGCCAACTTTCACAATGCTACTATGTAAGAAAATATAGAAAGTTTGAATGATGGAACCAGTTTTTCCATTAAAACTAAAGGAAAAAAAACGTACAATAAATAGACACCAGAAATATTCCAGTGCAACAAATCCCTATAATAAGGGAAAGAGATAAAACTAGAAAACTGAATCCTATTTTAACTAAACAGGAAAAATATCAGAAACAAACTAATCCTAGGAATTTAAATAACAAATAACGAAACAAACTCCTAAGATTAAGGAGGAAAAATAAAACATTCTAGATGCTGAAAACTAGGGATTGCAACACTCCCCCTCAAGCTGGGTGGTAGATGTCCAGCATTCCCAGCTTGGAAATTAGTCCTTCAAATTTAATTCTTGATAAAGACTTGGTTAAGATATCAGCAATCTGGGACCCTGTGGAAATGTGACTTAGATCAATAATATTTGCATCAATTTTTTCCTTGATGAAATTTCTATCAAGTTCAACATGCTTGGTACGGTCATGATGGATTGGATTATTGACAATTCCAATGGTGGCCATGTTATCACAGAAAATCTTCATAGGATCCTTGTATTCGAGGTGTAGCTCCTTTAGGACTCTTAAAATCCACATTCCCTCACAAGTGCCTAAGGACAATGCCCTGTATTCGGCTTCAGCACTGCTTCTGGCTACCACAGACTGTTTTGTACTCCTCCAAGTGACCAAATTTCCCCACACATATGAGCAATAGCCTGTGGTTGATCTTCGATCGATAATGGATCCTGCCCAATCAGCGTCCGTGTAAATCACAATATCACGGCTGGAATTTTTCTTGAAGAACAATCCTTTACCAGGAGTCATCTTTAAGTATCGTAGGATTCTGTAGACGGCTTCCAAGTGCTCTTCATTTGGGCTGTTCATAAATTGACTGACCACACTCACAGGGAAACTAATATCAGGCCTAGTGTGGGCTAAATAAATGAGTTTTCCAACTAGTCTTTGATATCTCTCAGTGTCTACCGAAGCACATTCTTGTTTGAGTCCTATCTTGTAGTTCGCCTCCATTGGTGTATCAGAAGGTTTACATCCCAACATCCCTGTTTCATTCAGCAGATCAAGAGTATATTTTCTTTGAGAAACTGAAATTCCTTCCTTAGTTCTTGCCACTTCCATTCCAAGAAAATATCGTAATTTTCCAAGGTCCTTGACCTCAAATTTGTGAGCTAACGTCTCCTTTAATTGCTTTATCTCATCCTCCCAATTACCAGTAATCACAATATCATCAACATAGACAATTAATATTGTAATTTTCTGATGAGGTGCAGTTTTAACAAACATAGTATGATCAGTTTGACATTGGGAGTACCCTTGATTTTTGACAACTGCAGTAAACTTATCAAACCAAGCCCTTGGAGATTGCTTCAAACCATAAAGGGATTTTAATAATCTACATACCTTTCGAGATCCTTGACCATCTTCCACTCCTTGGGGAATTTCCATGTAAACCTCTTCTTCTAAGTCACCATTTAAGAATGCATTCTTCACATCCATTTGCCAAAGGGGCCAATCTAGGCAAGCAGCAATGGACAAAAGAATTTTAATTGAATTAAATTTTGCTACTGGAGCAAAGGTTTCCTGGTAATCAATGCCCTGTGTCTGAGTGAATCCTTTGGCCACAAGTCTTGCTTTATGGCGATTAATACTCCCATCTTCATTATATTTGATGGTAAAAATCCACTTACAGCCAACCACTGATTTTCCTTGTGGTAAGGTAACTATCTCCCAAGTGCCATTTTTTTGAGTGCATGCAATTCATCCTGGATAGCAGAACACCATTCAGTAGTCTTAGATGCCTCAAAGTAGGATGTAGGAATGGTTTCTTTGTCAATGTTCTTGACTAGATGCTGCATCCTGGAGGAAAGATTAGCATAGGATATAAAATTACAGATGGAATGACTTGTACATGTCCTTACCCCCTTACGAAGTGCAATTGGCATGTGCAGAGCATCATCAGAACTTGGCAGCAAGGATTCAGTTTGGTCAAGTGCAGGACTAATGGTTTCTTCAGTTGGACCAGGAGCCAAGGTAATCTGTTTGTCAACATGTTCAAGCATCTCAGAAGCTGTTCTGTATTTGGGCCGTCGCGTGTAGACTTGCAGGGGCTGCTGTTCAGGCGGTTTCTGGAGCGGGCCGGAAGAGGATAAGCCATTAGATGAAGTGTCATTTTCCTGAGATTCACCTAAGACCGGTGTAGGGGCTGTTGAAGCAGAGTTTTCTGGAGTATTAGTCACAAACAACCATTCCTTGGAATTAGGGATCTCCCCCTGAATGGCGGTTTGGGAAAAATAAGGCTGATGTTCAAAAAAGGTGACATCTTTAGTAATGTAGAATCGATGTGTGGCTGGACTGAAGCATTTATACCCCTTCTGAGTAGGGGAATAGCCAAGAAAGATGCCCTTAAGAGCCCGAGGATCCAATTTACCACCTTGAGAGTTATGAATGAACACGGTGCAACCAAAAATTTTTGGTGGGAGATTTGGGGTTAAGGTCAATGAAGGGAATGCAGTGAGGAGTGTTTGGTAAGGTGAGGAGAAGTGTAATACCCGAGATGGCATGCGGTTGATAAGGTAAGTGGCTGTAAGAATAGCTTCCCCCCAATAATTTTTGGATGTATTTGAGGCAAAGAGTAGGCTACGAGCAACTTCAAGTAAATGGCGATTTTTTCTCTCAGATACACCGTTTTGTTGTGGGGTATTGACACAAGAGCTCTGGTTGATGATGCCATGGTCTTTTAGGTAAGCTGAAAGGTCCAAGTTAAAATAATCACGTGCATTGTCAGATCTAAGGGTAAGGATTTGGGTTTGAAATTGGGCAAGGATCATTTTGTGAAAGACTTTAAAGGTGGATGTGACTTCAGATTTATTGGCTAATAGGTACACCCATGTCATTCGAGTATGATCATCAATAAATGTGACAAACCAACGAGCACCCGTAAGGCTTTTAACAGTTGCAGGTCCCCACACATCACTGTGGATAATGGCAAATGGTTTAGAAGGAACATGCATTTGTAAGGGATAATGAGACCGAGTTTGTTTTGCAAGTTGACATATATCACATGAAGGAAAATTCGAATTCTCATTAAATAAAGAAGGGTACATCTTTTTCATATATTGAAAGTTTGGATGCCCTAATCTAAAATGCCATAAAAGAGCCTTATTCAAATTGCTAGTTGCTGCAAATGTGCTGTCTTGAGTCTTCATAACCGCGGCTGTGTAAAGTTGATATAAACCATTAGAGACCCTAGCACTGCCAATCGTCCTCCCCGATGCCAAATCCTGAAAAATACAATCAACGTGGGTAAATTTGACTGTGCACTTTAAATCCTTGGTCAATTTGGTAATAGAAATTAAATTGCAGGTAAGAGATGGAACGTAGAGAACTCCAGTTAAAGATATGGTTGACGATAGGTGAACAACACCAATTCCGTGAACCTTGGCTAAGCCTCCATTTGCTGTTTTTACTGATTTTGCCTCGAAAATGGGAAAGTATTCAGAAAGAAGAGAGGAATTACCAGTCATATGATCTGTAGCCCCAGAATCTACCATCCAGGAATCACATTTATCAAGATCGGATTGGAGAGCTGTATGGAATGTACCTGATTGATGACTATCAGATGAGGGATTAGATTTGTCCTTATTGCAATCTTGCAGCATGCGTTGTATGGCTATCACTTGTTCCCTTGTAAATGTATGGCCTTCGGATTTTGCTTGCGGAACATCTTCTACAACTGCAGCAACATGATTAAAGTCTCTGTTTTGTCTTGGCTTCCAATCAGCTGGCTTGCCATGGATTTTCCAGCATGTATCCCGAATATGCCCAGTTCTGTTGCAATGGTCACACCAGAGCTTACCATTTCGCCTAGGTCTGGAGTCTGCGTTGTTGGGTCTAGAGACAAAGGCTGCTGCTTCCAAAGGTGCATCAACTTTTGGGATGCTATTGGTCAAAACTTTGCGGCTTTCTTCCCACTTTAATTCAGAAAAAACTTCTCGCAAGGATGGCAGAGGGCGAGTGGCCATGATGCGGCTGCGAGCTCCATCATAGATTGGATTGAGTCCCAAAAGAAGGTTGTAGGTGCGGTCTTGTTCAACAATTTTCTTATACTGAAGAGTATCGGCTGGAGTAGTCCATTCATGTTGATCATAAAGATCCAATTGTTGCCAGAATTTTAGGAGTGAATTATAATAGCTGGTGACATCCTTGTCCTCCTGTTTGAGATCACGAAGAATCCCCTTGATGTGAAACAAGGCAGCTGTGTTATCTTCCTTAGAGAAGGCTTCCTTCACGCCATCCCAAATTTCCTTGGCTGTGGAGCACAACATGTATGTTTCAGCTATTTCAGGCACCATGGAATTCAGCAACCAAGACATCACAAGGTTATTTTCAATGGACCACTTCTTGTATTGTGGATGACTGGTTTCCAGAGGAGCAGCATCACCCGTACCGGTGAGATGATCTCCCTTGCCACGGCCTCCAATGAACATACGAACGCTGCGTGACCACAACAAATAATTGTCTCCATTGAATCGATGACCAGTGATGACTAATGCTGGACTATCGTTGGTAATGACAGCTGCTGAGTTGTCGTTGGTTTGGTTTGATGCTGAAACATTGAGTGGGGTTGTTGTTGGAGTGGTATTTGTACCGGTGGTATTGGAAGAAGTAGTTTGGTAGGCTCTCATGGTGCCAAAGAGTGGCACATTGGTAGCCATGGGTGGATCAGTCCCTTAAAAATCAAGCTCTGATACCATATAGAAAGTTTGAATGATGGAACCAGTTTTTCCATTAAAACTAAAGGAAAAAAACGTACAATAAATAGACACCAGAAATATTCCAGTGCAACAAATCCCTATAATCAGGGAAAGAGATAAAACTAGAAAACTGAATCCTATTTTAACTAAACAGGAAAAATATCAGAAACAAACTAATCCTAGGAATTTAAATAACAAATAACGAAACAAACTCCTAAGATTAAGGAGGAAAAATAAAACATTCTAGATGCTGAAAACTAGGGATTGCAACAGAAAACAACCCATCCTACAGGTATAGGAGTCGAAGGAGAAGGGGGGCAGTTGATTACACCCCACAACAAACTTAGAACATGAATGTGGGTTTTTTGGGTGCAAAAAAGCTGTTAGCTACAACAGCTTAACTTTAAGAGAGGAGAGGAGGGGTCTGTAAAGGGGTATCAAAGATTGTAGAGAGAAGTTGTAAAGAACCAATTCAACCCAAAAGCTTAAGTTGGTGGGTGAAGACTTTTTTTAATAGTTTATACTATTCTCTAACACACTACCTCACACGATAGCCCACTGGGCTTGAAGGGTGGATAATGTACAGGCCTACCTACCTGGCTACCTGTGCTAAGAAAATTTCACAAGAAAAAGTGGAGGGCGGTGAGGATCGAATTTGGGATACCAAGGCTCTGATACTATGTAAAAAACCAATTCAACCCAAAAGCTTAAGCTGGTGGATGAGAGCTTTTTTTAATGAGTTATACTATTCTCTAAAGAAGTCTTGGGAGAGACTAGTGCCTCTCAAATGCTCTAGATATCATTTTCTTCAATTTTTATTACTTCCGTACTCCATATATGATCTGGTATCATTTTGGTATCAGATTTACAGAAGTATTGTACAAGTTCTGGTTCCTTTGTGACTGTTTTCTATCTCGGTTCCTTACATACTACTGTTTTAATCATTAAAACTCACCTAACCAGAAATCACAGCACAGAAAAATGGTCAGATTTTCTCAACAGCGCATAATTACGCATTATTCAATACCCAGGGAAAAATTGACTTAGAACATCAACAGGTACGCCTTTACCCCAACTGCAGACTTCTCAATAACTTGGAAGTTCTTCAAGCGATAGGTTCAGAACCTAAAAATAGGACAAAGCTCGAGGCCATGCAGGCATATGATTCTAAATTCGAGCTTGAAAAATATTGTAACTCAATCTGACCTCCCTATGCACACATTGCCCAGGAACTCTAAATTTTTATTAACTCGTGTATTCATAAATTTCTTTCACAACACACTTTATCCTGAACACTCAATACACACCAAGATGCAGCAGCAGCAACAGTGAAATTCAAATTTGGACAAACTTACTGAGATGCATGCAGTTGCTTCAATTATGACAAGATCAAATCTATATATCATTTATCAGCAATCATAGGTTGAATGGTAAGATTTTGTCACCCTCATTTTTCTATGTATGAAGTTGATATCAATTAAAAAAGCAAAGAATTAGAAGAAAACATAATTGACTTAAAGCTCAGTAAAAGAATGACACCATACCCTGTATGGAGTCTCCATAATAAATCTACCATCCTTGGAAACACAGGGGATGGTCCCTTGCTGGAAAAAGGTAACCTATATCATAGAGGTGAGTCCAAAATAAGCAAACCATTGTAAAGCAAGTACTAATAGTACAAGAAAAAAGGTTTGAAGACATCTTACCTGTTCTGCTTCAAGACCAAAAAATTTACGACTTTCAAAGAATTTGCGAGTTGCCTCATCAGTGAATGGACTAGTCATTATGTACCATGGTATTTGTACTGAAGAAGCAGAACCTGCAATACATAAAATGATGAGAATGATACATTAAATAATGCATGAACCAACTGAACCAAGACGACTGAGACTTACTCTCATTTGTAGCTTGAGCAGCTAGTCTCTGTATACACAAAATCCTCTCAGCTTGAAGTTGAAAAAGTGATTTTCCAGATGGAAGTCCAATATCTAAAATAAAATATAATAATGCATAAATGAAAGAAATATTTCCCGATTTACTCTCAAAGCACATTCTAACAACAAAAATACCACAACTTAAGATATAAAAATTAGCAAATGAGTAAATAAATCAAGGAAGGCTTATAAAAATTTCACATTAATGCAGACAATGCTTCAGCTACTTTGATACAAATTAGGAATCACACTTGGCAGAAACTTTGATAAGACAAAAGGGAAAGAGAATTCAAGTAGATTATAGGAAGTGCATTTGGTATTGATATATAGACTCAGTAAAAGTGTTAACGGTCCTAGAATCAGAAATACTCAACTTCCAACAACTTTTACATCCAAATATTAACTTGTTTGTAACCCATCCATACCCCACACTCAACAACTACCTTTCTGCTTTTTCCATGATGAATATATTCTGCTTTCTTTCTAACCAGGATGATTTGAATTAACGAATCTATGTATAAATAGAAGCTTCCTCGTTTTCATTTTATTCAGAGTAATTTGTAGTCTTCCCAAAACTTGTTTGTCTGGAAGAAGCATCTACCATAGGTTCTAATTACAATGATCTTACCAAGAAATAGAAGGATAGGGTACATCAATAAATAGCGTGTAAGTTATAAACATTATTAAAAACCACACAAAATAGAAAAATAAAATGAAAGAAAGAAAAATACAACTTTTTTTTTTTTGAAAAGTAGAGAGCAAATGAAGCTATGGCCCAGAATTGCCCACCAGATCTCAATCAAATGATGAATACAATGGGTGGGTAGTGATAATTTTATCATATTTTGCTAACAGTTTAAACAGACAATAGTTATTTTAACATTATATGAATTTTTACCAATTTCCCAGTCCAACAATATTGTTAAAGATAACAGTTAACACATGCCAACTGAAGAAACTTGAGCTTCAATAATTTGCTTTCAATATCAAGTGAGAATACTCACTGAAACATCCTTTTGGATCTGAACTTCCAAGCCGAGTACCCTGCATTTATAGTTTTGGGACATTCTTTAGTCAGCCAAACCGACAGACAAATTGAACTTTAACATTTAAGAATTTGATTCAAATATCAAGAAAACTATACGATAATTCATCAGGCTAACACCAGACTTCTTGCAGAATTTATATTTCAACTAAGACCCAGAATACAGTTTACCAAAAAAAGACCCAGAATACAGGAGCCTTTTAGACATCGTGGTTAAGTAGAAAATTTGCATATACAAATTGTTTTTCAAGCCTTTAAGTTAAATGATCCGTTACACATTAATAAAAACATAAAGTGGATTGCTTACCAAAAAAAAACATAAAATGGGTTAACAAATATCAACATGGGGGCAAGATGCTATTATTACATTATATTAATAAATAATAATAATAATATCATCAATGATGACAGTGTTGGTCATGATAAAAGCAACAAAAAATAAATAATATCTGAATATTTCAGCTGTATTTTACTAATATGAGCATTTATAAATTCTCTTAGTTATTTCAGCTATGAGACTATATCACAAATAAAGTCATGATTTTCATTATTGAAAAATCAGGAATTGATTTAAAATAAAATAAAATTAGAGAACTTAAATAAGCGGACACTAAAATTTAGTTATTTCAAATTTAATGTTGATGCCGCTAACCAAATGATATATATACTCTACTTGCTTTTTGGTGGAATCCGATGAGATGAGAGAGACAAGGGTAACCCAATAACATAAAGCAACTTTATGTTATTGGCACTGCTTTTTGCACTTAATGATTACAATAAACCAAGTTAGAGGCACTGCTTTTTTGTCCCTTAAGAAATCAATTACCGACTATCGTAAGTGAAAAACAAATAAGAAAGTTGCATGAAAGTAGCATACCGCATATAATTAATTTTTTTTTTTAAAAAAAAGTATATGCTTTTACACTTAACATCTTTTCAGCCAATGATGTTGCTTTTTGGGAACAATAAAATGTAAGACCCACGAATTTCAACTTGTCTCTAATGGAGAACATTCCCAAAAGGGGTAGACATTATAACAAAATAATGCTCATAGAAAAAATGGAGAAATCATATTGCTTGTTATCTTTAATTCTTTATCATCATCATGATCATATAGATAATGCCCGTGTTAGTGCAGTGATGTTCACATGAAAAATTAAACCAAAACGCATCATTGCATGTATGTTGAGATTCTAATTATGTCACTGGCATCGAAAAACAATGAAATAACATTATTATTAATATTATTATTATAATTAAAAAGAAAAAGCATAAGTATGCGTCCGAAACAGATTCAGAGATACCTGACCACCAGATAAAAGCAAAACAGCTAACTTGCCATCTGAAATAGCCTTCAAGCCCATTTTCCACCATCTCTCTCGCTCCTCTTGGCTTCTCTCCTCCACCGTCGACACACTGCTCTCCGGCACAGGTTCAATGGCAGCTGCCGGAAGCCCTGAAAAAGCAATCTGATCAATCAACACAACACGCACCACAAAACCAATCATCAACATGCATGCACATGAAGAGAAAAAAAAACTCAATTCGATTAAAAAAAAACAGAAACCTTGAGATCGCAGGGAACATCGAATAATCCGATCAATTCTCGAAAGATCTAAACTCTGCAACACGGAACATGTTAATCAAATAGAACAACAAAAACAAAAAACATAAATCCCGCGCTTCAAAAATGAAAACGATCCGAAAATGAAAAAGGAAACGAAGTTGAGTTGCAAATCTAAAGCTCCGGATTCGATTCGCAGTACAGCGGCATTGAATCGAAAGCGAATTTTGCAGTGAAGAAGAAGAAAAACAAAAGCGAATGGAAAGTGCGGATCGAAAGGAATTTACCTCGATTTCCTTGACGAGAAGGTCGCGTTCCTCTTGGGAAAGCTCGTCCCATAGTGCAAAAGCGTCTTCTTGACCGTAGTCCTTGAGTCTCTCGAGTAGAGCTTGAGGCGGCGGAGAAACGACGCCGTTGCCTTCGAATCCCACCGACGATGGTTCCTTCATCTCTCTCTCTCTCTCTCTTCTATCTCTCTCTCTTCTATCTCTCTCTCTCTCTCTCTTCGATTTCAGATCTCAAAATTCTGAAGCAAGTGAGTGAGGTTGAGTGTTTTGGTGTTAATGAATTGTTTGTTGGTTATGCACACAGGGAACAGTGGCGAGGAAGACAAGAATCAAATCAGTAACCACCCTCCCTCACTCCCCTCTAATTACCCAAATGCCCCTCATCCTCCTCTTTCACATTATTGCAGTAATTATTTCATAATTATGGATATCAAATTTATTATCTTAAGTCAAATTTTTGAACGCAAAGGGAACAACATCATGGATCATAATTCTATTAATATTTAATAACTGTTAACTTTGACACTTTTTTCCTGTTCTCTTATTAAGATCAATTTTCTCAAAAATTAGTGTTAAAATATAAAAATGGTAGAAATATAGTGTCAAAATGTAAGTAAAAATAGGTAAAAATATTGTGCAAAAACATAATAACGATAGAATAAATTTTTATATTTTTTACTTAAACTAAATTTTTTATTTTTAAAAACTATTTTTGTGTAAAAACATAGATTAAAATTGGATATCATAATTGAAATTAAATAGAACAACTCACGCTAAAATGTTTATGAGAAATATTTTTTTCTTATGTTATAAGAAAATAGTTATCTTGTAGAAATAAAATTATAAGTGAGATTCGCAAGTAAGAGAAGAAAAAAAAAGAGTGGTGGGACCTAACCTTTTTGTGAGTGTAGAAAAATTGCTTATCTCATGTAAAATGAAATAAATATAACCCAAAGTTTATAGATCGCCACACATTTTTATTTTAAATTTATCTAAAAAAATTAAGATATTTGAAAGGCTCGATGTTAAAATTTGACGGTCTACTAATAATATATACCTGGATAGGGATAAGGACAATGGCGATTTTGTTTTTTCCCTCCATACGAATCTTTTTGTGTGTGTAGAAAAATTATTTATCTCATATAAAATGAAATAAATATAAGCCAAAGTTTATAGATCGCCACACATTTTCATTTAAATTTATCTAAAAAAATTAAGATATTTGAAAGGATCGATGTTAAAATTTGACGGTCTACTAATAATATATATCTGGATAGGGATAAGGACAATGGCGATTTTGTTTTTTCCCTCCATACGAACCAAAAGCAAAATTCATTTTTTCTTCAACTATTAAGAATTTTCGGCAGCAAATTTTATTAAAAAAGAATTAATCTGAATGAAGTACAATTTTATCAATTCCTAAAAAGCCTGAAAAATCTCACCAGTTCTAATAAGAGATAAATTCTTAACAAAGATTTATTCTAGACAAATACAAAAATTATAATTTATACATTATTGTTTTATATTAAAAATATAGAAAAAAAAGTTTATCATTTTAAATGACATAAAGTTATGTCTTTTTAAGAGAGAGATAGACACAAAATAATATTTTTTATTTAAAATTTAAATTAAAAAAAAATCACTCACTTTTTCCCTCACGATTTTAATTTTTTGTGTCTATCTCTCTCCTAAAATGACATAACTAATGTCATTTAAAATGACAAACATCAAATCCTAAAAATATATATAAATGTCAGTATCAAAGAAAATGACTACGTTACTTTTAGAATAATTATTTACTAATTTAATATATACAATTTATATAAACTAAGAGCATACAAATATTTTTGCCTTGGCAAGAACAAATGAATATCAGTCATTTACCTAGTTCTCATGCATATTAATTTGTTATGTTTTTGGACTAAGCAACAAAATTTTTGCACTTATTTGTGGCATAGTTACACACTACCATTACATTTGTTGTCAATTTTGAGGTAACGGGGTTTTACTTTATTTTATTTACTCATGTTCTATTTTAAAATTTGACCGTAGAAGTTGTTAAACTTTTTTTTATATTTTTGGACTTATATTTTATATAATTATATGATTTATATATTTTAAATATGAAGTTATTCATTAAATTTTAAATAATGACTTATAATTTTTTTTTACATGCATAAATATAATTTTATATCTTGACCTTAAGTAAAAAAAAATTTAGTAAAAATTCACTTTTAATAACATTGACTAAGACCAATGGTTCCTCTCCCTAACAAAACAACATTGAACGCAAGATCAGTCTATATATACCATAATATAATGCATTGAACTTCACTGCATCCGATTGCGCCGAAGATATTTCCCTCCCTAACAGATTCTTTAACTGCCAAATCATCATTGCTACAGTATCCGGTTGAGGTAGAGTCACCCAACCTACTAAAATATTAATTTAATTCAAGTACCCACCACAAGGGAACATTTTATTTGTCAACACAAGTTTGTTTGGCAAGTGTCTAAGGTCGATAATTTATCTTCAAGCAAGCACATTACAATAACTAATTCTTGACAGTTTACCCAAACACAGCCAACCGACTCAGCATATAGTGATGAAAAGTAATGGCATCGAGTTAGGCTAAAGCATATGTCAAACATATATACGAATATGCTCTTGAATTTATTAATAGTATTATAACATATCGTGTTATATGTCATGGCCCACTGGCCTAAAATTCCGAGTACCCCCTCCAGACTCACGTTCTCCCACACATCTTCATATATTTTACACATACGCACGTAAGATACTAATTTTACCCACTAAAAGCCTAATCTGAATTAAATCAAAAACAAATTATTGCTTATTTAGTAATCTTACATGCATAAAAAGTATATGATATTATCTCAATTCTTACCTCGCACTCACAAGAATTTATAGTCGCTCTTAAGCTCCTCGTTAACACTGTAGCGGTCATACACAATTCTCCCATCTCTTATTTTTTACAAGAACTATCCATGGCATAAATAATAGCCTTTCAAGCCATATTCAAGAGCTGATAATTGCATGCTACAAAGTTCATATTTGCTACAAAACAAACTCAAAATTTAGATGCATGAGGTCACTGCCATCGTTTCCTTATTCTCCTAATATTCACGAAAATTGGGTTAATTTATATATATATATATATATATGAGGTAAGATCTTTTGACACCAGTGTCAAATTTGAAATTTGACACCTCATCTGAGAGCCGTTAGATCAAAAAAGATCAACGGCTCTGATTTGTAAACATGTGACACCATTGATCTTTTTTGATCTAACGGCTCTCAGATAAGATGTCAAATTTCAAATTTGACACCGGTGTCAAAGGATCCTGCCTATATATATATATATATATATATATATATATATATGAATTCACTTTTTCTACAGTTACTGCAAATAAGTTATCTGCAGTAAGCTCAATACGACGTCATTTTGAGACGAAAATCATGGTATTTTTGTAATTTTAATTTATTTCAGAATTATTATAGTCTTTATAATTTTCTAATCTTTCAATCCCAAAACAACGTCGTTTTGAAAATAAATGCAGATAACTTATCTGCATTAACTGCAGAAATATATATATATATATATATATATATATATATATATATATATATATATATACATTGAAATAATACATGTCATCACATCAACCCTGACAAGTTAGTTAATATAGAAGAGTTAATCATCATACAAAAATTTTACGTAAAGATCTCGGTTTATTAATAGAAAAAAAAAGTTAGAGAAAAAGAAAAGGAAAAGAAGTACATGGAAATCCAATCATGTATTTAACTGGAGCTAACAACAACGTTAGCAAGCTCAGTGGTAGAATCTTACACAAAGGAAATTACAAGGATGATGCTTTCTCATTGAGTGCTTCTTTAACTACTCTCAAAAGCGATGGCATCAATTTCTGGTTTGTAACAATAATACCAGAAACAACATCAAGAAACTTTCCTTTAGAAAAGTCCAAAGGGTTCCCTGCAGCATCCGTGGCAATACCTCCAGCTTCTGCAGAAGTTAAATTGTCAAACAATCATGTATACAAGATCAAAAGTAGAAGACACACTCAATATCAAACCTTTTAAAACCTATATATTGTAACATGTCAACGGAAGTCACAATCTTCTGCATGTTTCATTCTCAATCATGAGTATATAAGAGTTCAGCATATATAACTATTCCGTGAGAGTATAATATCTTCATTGAGGACTTGTGTGCTATGTATTGAAAATTGTAACAAAAAAAAATTCAATAACCCCCCTCCCCTCTCTTTAGGGGTAACCAAAAAACAAAGTATTGCCTTCAATTTCTTCTCCCACCTTCTGTTTACTTACCATAAAAACTCCAGCATATATTATAAGACCAAACAAAGATCAATGCTAAAAACACGTCAAAACTAACAATTGATTGAAATCGTATAACATAACTATTCGGAAGCACCTTAAATATCTGAAGAAACATCTTATGACAAACCTCAACATTAAGTAGGCCTAGATAAACATAAAAACCAAACCAAACACTATTCATAACAAAAATAAAGAAAGGAAGGAAGAAAAATACACACCAGTCACAACAATGCAGCCAGCAGCATGATCCCATATTTTTTCACGGTATCCTTTGTGAGGGAAACGCAGATATATAGCCCCATCTCCTCTAGACAGAGCTCCATATTTTGCTTGGCTGTCAATTCTGACGGGTGGCGCTTTGACACCGAGTTTCTGTTCATGAAGTCATAATGTTCAGGAATGTCTGCATATTAAATCTAAAAATGTAGAAAGAGAAACTGAAAAAACAATAAAAAGGATAAAGGTTGACAATAGAAATAGCATTACTTCTGCAATGGAGCTAGACAAGTCATGTGAGGAGTGTGCTGCTTCAAAAGATTCAAAAAAAGATGCTTCTTCTGGATTATCAATAGCACTGACATGCACCTGGATGATGATAACAAGATACTTAATTGGTCACAGCACAATTGTCAAGGACATTAGCAGAAGTTTCAAGTAAGACAACATTCTATAAGCACTAACCCTAGTTTGTGTAGAACCATCCAATGCCTGCATATATGCTCCATCACCAACTTTAGCAAAGAAAAGACAACCAACTTCATGAGAAGAAGAATGCTGCTGATTACTGCCAATGGATGCCAGTGGAAGATTTGGACAAGCCAAGACACCCAATACAACTTTGCCTTCATGTAGCAAAGCTAATGCTATAGCATATTGATCTCCTCTCACAAACCTATAATGTCATCTCACAAGCATGAGATACTCCATGACTCGCATATTGATAGTACAGCAACCATGCAAGTGAAACAAACAGTATAAAACATATAGACTGTAAATTAGGAAACTAATGAATAAAAGGAACTATTTAATCAAATGTTTAGTTATTTTGATGGGTAAAGGAAATAAAAGTAAATACAACTCCAAAATTTTGTATCATCAAATTTTAGTCACTCCATAAACAGAGATTTAAATCTTTATTAACATGACCAGAGATTCCAATTTTCAGCAACCTGAAGTCTTCTAGGCAAATTGTCAATTTCACCGAGCCAGGTGATAGATAATATCTCCTTATCAAAATTAAAACCATAATTATATATTTGTTTGAATTTAAGTGATGGCAAATTAAATTTCAACCTCTATTTTTGTCCTTACTTTCTTACCAAAATAAGATATTCAACAATCACTGCAATCTTAGTAAATAATCAAGATTAATAATACTACACAAATTTCACATATTTATAATATAAGATATTACAAACAACTCCATGCTGCAACAACATCCCAATTTTTTAGGAAGAGAAACTAACATAGCTTTGACATACAGAAGAAAGTATTGAAAACATATTGAATTTAAACGCAAAAAAAAAAAAAAAAAACTCACCCTTTAGTGCCATCTATTGGATCCAAAACCCAGTGCCGACCAACAGAACCACCTTCAGACTTACCATTATCAATGGCTCCAAGAACATCATCTGTTGTTAAAGTAGAAAAGCTATATGATCCTTCACTTGCAAGAGTATCATTGACAAGTTCTGTAATGCGCTTCAATGTATCATGGCCACTGTCCTTACGAAGATCCCCTGAATCCTAGAGTTTTAAAACTGGACTTAACATTCAAGCATAGAAAAGAAAGCAGAGTCTGCATGTCCCAGAAATCTGTTAAGAGTTTACAATTTCACCTCCTCAGCTACTAATGAAAATGGTTCAGAAGGAAGTTCTCTCTCAAGTATAAAGCTGACCAAGGCTTGTGAACCTGTAAACCACATGTAAGCAACCCATAGTTATACTAAGTGAATCTGCACTACAGCTAAACCTCAATGAATGAGAGTAGCAACTAAAAAAAAAATTACAATGGAAAATTGCTGCAAAATTTGTAAATAACTTTCTTTTTTCAAACTGATCCATATAATAGACAATGAAGCACTAGCTCAACGTGTAAACAAAAAGAAAATTGCCAGAAGAGATTTAATATCCAACCTTAGAATGGAATATTCACTATTTTTTGTTTTTTGTTCTTTTGGACAAAAGGAATATCCACTAATTTAGACAATATGGACTAGTTTTGTTATGCTCAAGAGAAATTTGCCCAAGAACTTGCTGGCTGAGCTAAATTTAATTAAGTCCTCTTACTTTGAATCTATAAAAAAAAAAAAAAAATTTGGAGACACATAGTGCGATAGAAATTTATAAAATAGCAGGGAATACATACAAAACATTCAGTACAGGTGCATATTATAACATAAAGGTAAATATATACAAGTGGAAGGCTTTTCCTCATCTTTGTCATGAAAGCCAAAATGCTTTATACTAGCCAACCTTAGCCTTATACAATTTCAATCATAAAAAATGGGATCAGTGCTCCAATCATCAACATCTTTCAACTCATGCAGAGTTCTAATATACAGTCCAAAAATAGCATGCAAAACCTGATAAGATATTGGTGTAGAGTTTGTATTTCGTAAAACAACCATTTCAACCCAAAAGCTTAAGCTATTAGATGAATACCACATTAATTGTTTTATATTATATTCCATTAAAACGCCCCATCACATAAGACCCCATTGGGCTCAAAGGGTGGACAATGCACAGACCCACCTACATATGTGTAAAAACTTTATAATATTTAATTATTTATTAATAAAATGAAGACGGTGAGGATAGAACTCATGACCCATGTACAACAATCATTTCAAGCCAAAAGCTTAAGCTATTCTAGTGAATGCCACATTAATGGTTTTATATTCCTCTAACATATTTATAACAATATTATTGAAGACCAACTCTTTGAACTTCCCCTCATCCAAGGGCCCTATGGGATTGAAGCATGAACAATCCTCAAGCCCTTTTAAAGTTAATACACATCCCCTTATGCAAGGGCCCTGTAGGATTAAAGCATGAACAATCCTCAAGCCCTTCTTACAGTTACATAGAAGGTGAAAGCATGTGGGTAAGAGAGGGAGATACGTGGAGTAGAGGAGGATTAAACCCCGACATCAACATCACACCCAAATCTTAAACGATTAGGCTGTTGCCAATTGAGCTCACAAGCTCACATAGTGATAAAATGATAGGCCTTCAATAAAGTAACCAAGCCCATTAATTAGGAATTAGTATATATAGAGATGTTTAGAGTGGGGTTTCTTTATGCATGAATTCAGAATTGGTTAGTGGGAAAATTTGGAGATCTCTGGGAGTTGAGGTCTCTAGGAGTTTATTTTCTGCATTTTATCTTGTAAGGAGCTTGGCTCCATTTATGTTTTCTGCAATTTCAGATTTATAAAAAAAAGGTTCCATCATAAAATAAACTGAATCATGAAGAATGGGGACAGCAAGGATCAAATTCATGAGCACTTGATCCTAGAGACTATGATACCATATCAACTCTCCTAAAAGCTTAGGCTATTAGGGGAGACCTCAGGAATGGTTTTATATCTCTAACACATATGAAACTATAGCACTGCAAAAGCTTACCTTATTATCATTATAGAAATACAATAGATTTCAAACTATAATGATATTGTTAAGAAAATTGTTGGCTCATTCTTGAAATTGGAATTAGTTAAATATTAATGGAATGCATCAGCTATTCCGATTATAAACAGAAAATTTTTAATTTAAAATTCTTACAAATGTGAGAATATGATAGGACTGGACTCCATCTTCATCATACTATGAGGAAGAGGAACAAGAATTTCTTTCAAAGGTCAGGAGCAAATTATCTTGAGATCAAATTAATGGCTCTTTTGATAGGATATGAAATATCTTACATACAGAAGCTGATAAACTATACAACATGCAGAAAATGTTGAGATCAGTAACCCCATATTATCCATCTATATAAAACATGGCAAGTATTTAAGAAGATAACTAGAAAGTGCACATCATTTCCCACTGCTCAGCTTCTATTTGTCTAAATGTAATCCATCCAGTTCAAGTATTGATATAAGTAAGCCAGGAGGATAATTTTGTACCTAGTTAGCACTACTTCTACTCAGTCAATAAATAATAACTGAACTTTGCAACTACAAATAGCTTATCAATATGAGTGATTGCAGGAAAAATATGCAACCCTGATTCAATATTACCACATATAATCAAACAGCATGTTCTGAGGAGTAAGACAACTAACCATAATCAGCCACTGTGACAGGACTTTTGTCTGATTTTGAGTGGACATCGGATTGCAGCAGAGCCTTTTGTACTTTCTGGACAAAACATACAATGAAGAATCAGTATCCATAGGTACTATAGTCTATAGCAGCATTTCTTCTTTATTTATTTATTTCTAGGCAATAATTCTAGCAGCACTTAGGAGATAAAAAACCAAAAACTAAAAATAAAAATAAAATAAATAAATCAGATATTTGAAGAATTTTACTAACCAGGATATACAACAAAATACAATATGAGAATATTTAAATTCAAAGCATCATATTAGAGCTCTGCCTCACTTATATTCTTTTATTTATTCATTTATTCTTTAGGTTCATTTATTGCATTTGCAAGATCATTAAGAAGGGTGTTTCCAATATCATATAAACATATAGTCAATAATATCAAATGATGGTCGGTTAGTCAGGGAATTGAGTAGATGGGGTGAGAACATGTGTTTCCAATACTGTCTTTAGCAGGGTTTAAAGCCTTAACTCTGGATCTGTCTTAAATCGGACTAATCCCGTGACAAACTCATTAAAATATCTCAAAAAAAAATAACATTTTGGCAATAATAACATAAACAAAATCCACATCAATTGTCCCAGCAAAGTGGGCAATGAAATTACGAAAAATCAATCTATAATTCCAATAAAATGCACACCCATAAGCAAAATAAAAAGGGGGGTATGTTTGATTCTGAAAATAATGATGGTAAAGTTTAGAACTTGAGAAACCAAAATTTGTGGGGGTGCATAAAATAACAAAAAGTAAGGATTTTGAGGGAAGAGAATGGATAATATAGCATGCCTGGCAGAGACGAGCAGCGAGAGTAGCTGCTTTCTTTGCAGCAGCAAGCTCCTTCTCGTAAGTCATTGAAGAAACTATCACTGTTAATGGCGAGGAACACGAAAAGCCCCTTCCCCTTGTTGACAATACACACAAGTTATTGGCTTTTTTGCTGATTTTTTGTTCGCACCACCTCGAATCACTTCCAAGCGTTATTGCTCTTGCTCTCAACAAACGTGTGGGTGTACCCATTTTCCTTTTCTTATTTTTCTTTTTAAAGTATATCACCTCACTCTTTTATTGTTTTCTTGATTCTACATAAGAAAACATCCATTTTAGTTGCATTTGCATCAATACAATTAACATTAGCTTATTAGCTTAGTTGCATAAATACTCTTTAATAAGACTTATAATTGATTTAACTTCTCAATTGTAGAAAATTAACATAGTTTCTAAATTAAAAAAAAAAAAGGAAAAATATTTCTACAGTTAATGCAGATAAGTTATCTGCATTTATTCTCAAAACGACGTCGTTTTGGTATTGAAATCTCAAAAAATTATAAATATAAAAACTATTATAACCCTGAAATAAATTAAAATTACAAAAACACCATGATTTCCACTCAAAACGACGTCGTATTGACTAGTAACCGCAGAAAAAATGAAGAAAAAAAAACAGTGACAATGTTTAATGAGTCCGTAAACAAATACTTTCCCGTCACTTTACACAATTAAAAGTAATAATATGTTTGGTTTTGATTAACTTTTAAAAACCTAATTTCTATCTTATTACAAAGTTTTAATTATGTGATTTATTTTTTTTATTTGGCAATTTTAGAATAGTGAGACATAATTCATGACATTTCTATCCTCTAACATTAATCCTGAAGAAAATTAATTTTTTTTCTATTTGCGCCAAGGAAGAATATTTTGGTTAGAAAAATACATTTTGTAACATTGTAACACAATTTTTTTTTAGAAAAATAATTGCATTTAATAATGCAATACAATTTATTTTTTTACACTAGATATTATGACAAAATATCAAAATTTTATATTTAATAAATAATAATTTTCGTTGTGCATTTTGATTTAGGGGAATGAAAATAGATTTTATTTATTTATTATTTTAAAAAAATCAGGTCATGGGTTAAAAGTTAACCTAGTTCAATATTTTTTTTTTTTTTTTTTTTCATAAGACATTGTTTAGTTTTTTGTTTACGTGAAATTGAGAAACTTGCGTTTCTACCGTTTGTACATTTTTACACTGCATTTTTATTAATTTTTATTAAGGAGAGTTTTTACTTGTGTTTTAACACGTATCACTTTAGTAAAAACTTAAGAACATAATTTTACATTTTTACCCTAACTTTTCACAACAACTAGATCGGCTCATATAAATCGAAGCATAGAGCGTCGGTTGCAAGTTCTTAAAATTGATTGTGCAACAGATAAATGGAGAGAGACAGTTTAATGAAAATAAAAAATAAAAAGAAAATATGTCGCTTATTATTTTAATATATCAACGACTCACAATGATTAAAAATTTAAAATAATGTATGCTTCATACATAATTAGCTATGCTATACATATTAATTTATTTTTGGGTAAAATTCCTATACATTTAATTGTCTATAATTCATTCAAAGAATCATGATATTCTATACGTTAATGCATGATTGATAATTAAATGGAATAAATTATATTTATAACTTTTTTGTTTACCAATAGTACATTCCTACCAATAAGTCATAATTGAATTTGTAAATAAATTTTTTATAAATATAATCTTTCCCTAATTAAATTTATTGTGCTTAGTTGATAGATTATGATTGGATGAATTTATATGGGAGCAAAATAAATTAATAATTAATGTATAGATCATGTAATATACACTATACAAAATTTATCTTAGACCTTCGAAACATCAAATTAGAACATCATGTTGGAACTTCGTGTTGGGTTTAGAAAAACTAATGTCTAATGGGTGAAATAAGGACGAAAGTGATAATTTACTCTTATAAATAATAGAGTTATGCCACTTGCCCTGCAAGCTTATGTTTAGGTGTATGAAAAAAACTCAAATGAAATGAACTAATCCAAATAGCATAATTGTTTTTAAGAGTTTAATATTTCTTATGAGGTAAGAGATAAAATTATTCCTTACACAAACATAATTCATAAAGTTGTATAAAATCTATATTTTTCTTTCTTTTTTCTTTTCACATGGACCCACACACACTTTTATGTGTGCGTGTGAAATAATTTTATCTCCTGTGAGATACTAATGGACATGTCACTTACGCTACTGTCACTCAAACAAATCCAAACTTTACTTTTACATGAAAATATACACATCACTTTTACTAATATTTTTCGAGGTTGGTGATCTGCAATTCAGATTAAACTGCAGAGGATCTTGGTCAATGAATTTAATTTTTTAATATAAATATTGAAGTAAATATGATATACTAACTTCTTAGTGAGGTGACCCAGTTCCAATTTTGCAATTGGATATCTGACATCACCTTTGTTTCCAGAAATATTTTGAGGAAAAACTTCATCAAAATATACATACAAACAAAAACAGCTAACCAAAAGTAAATAAAAACCAAGCAAAAACTGCTACGAACACCTATATCCACTTAATAAATTCAATGTAACTTGAAAATAAAACTGTAAATATTCGAGATACAGTCGACACACTTCACAGTAGTGAATATATAATCTTCATAGACAATAAGGATACACTGCAGAGGATTCACTTATCTTTTTAAATTATAGCCAGGATACACTTTCCATAACTGATTAATACATTAGAAAATTTAAAACATTATAAACCAGAGACCTGCTTTTAAACTTCACAAAAAATTCATTAAAAGAAATCAAGAATAGAGGACTTAATACAGCTACCGTAAACAAAGTAATTCATAACCTTCTTGAGTCATAACCCAAGAAGTCAGGCAGATCCATTAACGTAAGAAATTTGAGTTATATCATGGTTTTTTTTGGCTTTAGTATACTTTTGAAGCACCAAGGAAATGCAACTGAACACGACAACAGTGTTGCATTACAAAGGAATAATCATCGTGAATGTCATAAACACATTTGAAGATCCAAATATGCAACAAAATTACAACACAGGAGTTCCAAGAATGTTACATAGAAATATGGGATAGAAATGAAAATGGACAAACAAATTAAAAAATTAACATCAATAGAGGCGGGTTTACCTCACATGTTACTTGGATACATAAATACTCTTACCCGGGCTCCCTATAATGCATCAGAAGTCAAAGAAGTCACAAATCACAATACTAATAAAAAACAACCCATATAATAAAAAACATGCTCTAAATTATTACCATTGATCTTGGAGGAAGATTTGACTTGAATTTTGTCTGAACAATACCATTGTTACCGTGAGGCCTTTTGACCTTACCCCATATGCAGCGGTATTGACTTTGATTCTTCTTCACCTTGGCCTTATAGATATATGCCATTCACTTGCCTCCATACCATGCTACCTATTCCTTTGTGTTCACTCCCTCAATTTGGATCAGAGATGTGTCTGGGTACTGGTTTGATTTGGATCTGAAAAATACCAGCACTTTATCATACACCAAATAACCTAACAAAGCCCTTCTCGCTGAGGAAATAACCCAAGTACAACAACCAAACACAAGATGAAATAACCGAAGTACAAATTAGTAAAACTACACAGTGCAAGAAGCTTTTACCTTTTGGTATCCAAGGGTTTTGCCCCTCACGGAGAGTTCAATACAAAAGAACAAAAAGTATATTATTAGCTTATTTTGCTGCAAAAGATCAGTTCACAAAATGAGGAACAAAGAGCTATGGCCATTCAGGAAGGAATGGATAACAAGAAGATAAGATCATTGACATCAATATATCCACTCAAGAACTTTGTCTTCAGAAAAAAGAGAAAAAAAAACGAATATACATTCCGAAATGCTACAAAAACCATCATTGAAATCCCTTTTTACTGTAAGTATAATAGTCATGGATCAAAAACCATCATTCTGACTAACAAAGCCCGGCACAATTGGTAGAAAGCTGGGTCCTTTAAGCATGTTGACAAGGGTTCGATCCCTGGCCGTGTGTATATAAAAGACTTTGTTGATAGAGGTTGTACCCACGATCGCATGATCTCTCCGCCTCAAGGGGATTAGTTCTTGGCTTTCGGCTGGGGGATACCCTTGGAACAATTTCCAGGAAAAAAAAAAAAAAAAACCATCATTCTGACAAATCTATCTTTCCATGTAACAGGCACAATAATGATGTCCTATCTGTCAGATTCTAACAAATGGTTGCCTGCCCTTTGATTTCCAGCTTCCAATATTTCACCTGTAATTCAATATCATTCTTGTAATTTCCCATTGGGTGATTTCTTCCTCTAAATCATGTGGGAGTGGAGAAAACTTTGAGTTCCATAGCCTTTTTCTGAAAAAGATCTTTCTTCTTAAAAAAAAAAGAAAGGGAACTTCTCATGAAAGGAGAAAGCCACTGCGCAAATTACCCTGAATATGAATAGAGAAAGAGAAGAAATAACAAGGGAAAGTTTAGAGAGAGATAGAAGAGGGTTAACAATTTCTCAATAAGAACAATCAATTAAAACCTGAGAAATAGTACATAGTTCTCTAATAAGCCAACTAAACCAATCCTAATTTCACCAGGATAGAAAACCCTAATTTGACATATACAAATGCCTTAATCATGAAAAAACCATACTCTATGCATCTACTGCAAAGTTTTTTTTTTTTTGTTTGGGGGGGGGGGGGGGGGGGGGGGGACTTGAGTCTTCAAAGATTTTATTTCAAATGCTTAAACAGTACATATCTGTTTATAACTAGGCTTTCAAAACATATGAAGAAGTGCACAACACAATAACCTTGAATTAAAAATAACATCTCAAACACCTGTTACTAACCTTAGATATCAAGACTGTTTACATAGCCCTGCCTGCAATGAGAGGTTTAGGAGGGGATAGAGATCGAACTTCAGGTGCAGAACTGGGGAAAAGTATGTTCAGCCTGTGCATCAGGATATCAGCCCTGGATGGAATTTCATTCAGAAGAAACTGCTGAACAATTGGTTTCTTAAACCATTCCATGACAGAATCTCCTGATGCCCTAAGAACCACTTTACTAACCTCAAATGGAGACTCTACTGAGCTCAACATCTGTGCAACCACGATCTTTAAAGTCGCTCCTGTTACCAATTTAATCCGTCTTGGGACAATGCCATAATATAGCATGCGCTTTCTGAACCTATGAAGAGTGTGCACTACTGCTATAAGAGCAGCTCCAACTGACAAGTTTCTAACATCAAGAGACCAAGCAATGTGCTGATCAAAAACTATAGCCTTTGGGAAAAGTTTATTCTCATAAGCAACCTTCCAAACACATCGAGCTCTATTTATCTGCCCCATAAGAACTAGGTAATTGAGAAGAACATTGACAAAGTACTTTGCAGCACCTTCCTCCAATTCATAGTCAATACCTTGAAAGAATTCCCTGACAAAAGATAACACCGGCTGTCCCCTCTGTTCTGGGCCTGTGAAAAGTCCACACATAAAAGAGTGGGCCTTATGCTTTGTAGCACTAAGGATAGACATCAAATGCCTCTCATTCTGCTCTTCCTGACACCTAACAAGATGGGCTAAAATGGAGGTGTAAAGTATCAAATCAACTTTTGCAGCAGAGTTAACATATGTTTCAAGAAGAGGCTTGGCTGACTCATATAACCCGTTCTTCATGCATGACTCAAACAACTGTCTGATTATAAAATTATTGGTTCTGATCCCTGACGAACCCATGAAACGCAGCCACCTCAAAGCAAGATCGACTGAACCTTCCTTAATATACACCATCAAAACATCACTAGCTGTCACATCCACCGAATATCCCATGGTCTTCATTTCAAGTAGAATTTTGGCAGCCACATCCACCAGCTTCTTATTAGCTAGTAGAGTTAAAAGAACAGTATAAGTGCTGAGGCCAGGCCTTAAACCTGCATTAGTCATTGAATTGTACAGTCTCATGGCATGATCAATTTGTCCAGATGCAGCATGCATTTCCAAGAGACAAGCATATGTGGATGGGGTGGGTAGAAATCCTGCTTTCTCCATGTCTGAAAATGCAGACATAGCAATGTCCAGCTTCCCTGATTTTGCATGGGACTCAATGATCAATGTATACAAGCCAAAGTTAGGCCTGAACCCTGCTTTCTTCATCTCATCCCATAACCTAAGGGCAGTTTCTAACTTTCCAGACTTCACATAAGATTCAATTAAAGAAACATATATAGTAGGAGGTGGCTTGTACCCAAAACCTCGCATCTCCATGTAAACCTTCATTGCACTGTCCAATCTCCCCGCCTTCCCCATTGAATCAACAAGTGATGCAAAGATGTTTAAACCAGGCCGGAAATCTCTTCCTTTCATTTCTTGGAAGAGTTTGAAAGCAGCATCGAGACGGCCCGACTTTGCTAAGTTTGGGATCATCAGTTCATAAGTCGAACTATCCAATGAACAATTGGCTGCTTCCATGCTCTCATATATCTCAAACGCCTTATAAGGCAAACCCTTAGTCAAAAACAAAGTAATGAGTGAGTTATATGTTTCTGTATCAATTTTACAACCAGCATCCTGTATTTTCTTAAAGCAGCAAAAAGAGACTTCCAACTTCTCAGCTTTAGCCAAGTACTGAATAACTCGATTATAAGCAACAAACAAGGAAACCCCACCATTGGCAGAATCACCAACCATCTCGTCAAACAATGATTGGATCCCATCAAAATCCCTGCGCTGGTTCAAACCATCAAACAACATAACATAACAGTCATCACTAGGTGAATACCAAGATTGCCTCTTAGCCCACCTAAAGAAACTCAAACATGCATCGTTATCATTAATGACCTTCAATGCTTGAGTAATGTGAGTCATGTTTGGTACAAACTGAAGTTTGTCCAATTGGGTCTCCAATTCTGGACCCCATTTCCACCTTTTGACAACCTCAACAATTTTGGCCACAGCCAGAGCATTCAAAAAGGGCTTCTTGACATCACCCACCATTACATGATCATCAAGCCCAGGTTCCACGGACCTTATACCCTTACCCTTGTAAAGAACACTACCAGATTCATCCAAGTACTCAATTTCCTCAGTCCACTCTTTAGACCCACCACTATCATAACAATAAAATCTCATTAAACTAAAATTCCCCACAAACTTGAAATCTTTGCACAAACCTGGGTTTCTCCACCTGGTAGGGAATGTGGTTGTAGAGGTCAAAAACGTTAACTTTTGGGCAAAGGGTATTGGGGAAATGAAGGAGCAAGAGGGTGAGAGAAGAGAGAGATGATGGGTGAGTTTGATAGTGGAAGAGAGCAATTGGCGATGATGAATCATTAGAATAATATGAAGAAGCAAGCAACCTAAAAGTGATCGAAATTGCTTACACACCTTTTTGTTCCCGTTCCAGTTGTATGCTGTAACAACGCTAAAACCCTGAAATGCTGTTCCTTAATTTTTCTCAAGAAGAGTCGCACACAGTCCAATTTTTTTCTCTCTCTCTCCTCTCGGAGTTTTGTAATTATACATACAGATTAAGCTCTTTTAGGTGATTAGGTCAAAGATAAGAATTTCAATCGATCATAAAAAGGTACGATATAATCATGTTAAAAATATGGGTTTTATAATTTTCAACTTACGTGATAATTAAAATTTTATGGTGTGGAGACAAAAAGTATATGATTTATATGTAAGAAAAAATTATATATAGTACTTATGTTATAATAGAAATCAAAAAGCGTGTAGGAAGATTTCAATTCTCACGTTGAATGAAAATTATAAAATCTTATAAGTATATGGTAATTTTTTTTTGTAAAGAAACTTAAAAATTCTTGACTAATATGTTTAACAACTTTATAAATTTATCTATATAGATTTTAAAATTTTATAAGGATTTAATATTTTTGTTTTTAGTGAAGAAATTTTTTTCAATCACATGTATAAAAGTGAGTCTCACTAATATTTTTTTTTCTCTTTTTGTTATAATGGGATCCATTTACTTTTATATAATTGTAGTAGAAAAAAAAATTATAATAAAAATAAAAATATTTCTCCTATTTTATAATGTTAAAAATTCAACGTGTCTTTTATGAACTTTTAAAAAATTTCATATTGTATTGGTCTGATAGAGAGGGCAAAACGGGCTCGGCTCGGCGGGCCAACCCGTCGCACCTGTTAAACGGGGCGGGGTGAGCTGAGTTTTTCAACCCATCTGAAAAGGGGGCGGGGCGGACTCATTTTTTGGCGGGTTGATGGCGGGCATAGGCGAACCGAGACGAGTCAGTGTAAAATAGGTTCGGGTCGGTGGGCCAACCCGCATAATCCGCCAAACGGAACGGGACGGGCTGAGTTTTTCAGCCCATTTTCAAAAGCAAAGCAGGACGAGCTAACTTATTTTTTGAGAGGTGATGGCGGGGTGGGACAAAGCGGGCTGCCCACTTTGCCATCCCTGGCTATCATAATATCATATCCATGCTTCCTGGTTGGTAGAGAAAAACAATATGAGCCTCTTAAACTATATTATATTATGTATTTAATGTGCACTCAATACACAGCTTAGTAGGATTATATTATCATATTATATGTTTGTAGCCAATCAAATATTGTCTGAATATGGATAAACAAAAATACCATTTATAACATATTTTTATATATATATTTTAAATCAATTTCTAAATTGTTTTTTTCTTTTAACTTATTTATACATTAATTCTTATTATTAATTATTAAAATTTCTAAAATTTGTTAAGTTAAATTTTGTTCATATAAACAAGGCCTATAAACTTGGCCAAATTCTTAATTTTGATATAGGAGGGATCCAAAATATTTTTGATCTTCCTAGACTAAAGTTGAGAAAATTTTGTTCCGAGACTAATTGAGAACAAGCTTGATAGTCAGGAACAAAATAGTGCTATGGTCTAATGCAAAAGTTTAATTTATAGAAAACGAAATATTTTTCTAAATTTGTTTAAAGGCCTTTTGTACCCCGAATATTGGATTGATGAAGATGGGGATTCTAATGTCTTGTGAACACTAAATCCTTCTTCTGATGATGAGAAATCAGTTAGAACAATATGCTAAATGATGTATCAAAGGTACACTTTGAAGTGGAAATGAAATTTTCATCAATATATTTGGCGTAAAAGTAAAAGTAAACTATTTAGTGGCCAGCTTTGAGCAACAGTTGAAAGGACCGAAAGAATCACATGTAAAACATACATAAAAGAGAGCTTTCTCATATTTATGGTTCTACCCGATTCAATTGGATTAGTCGATTAATTTATGAAAAAACAAAAGACAGCCTGTCATGATACACCATAATTAGTTGAGATGATATAGAATGTCAATTATTTATTTTTTAGAGGTTATATCCTTGTTTTGTTGTGAGTTTATCTCTTGTTATAACAGTTTTGGCGTTGGCACATTGGATGCCATATTTTCCTTGCTAAATAATATTTGGAAAAACATGCACTTAACGCAGAAGTTTTTATCTATCACATATAATGTATCTACTCCTCGAAATATATAGACAAATTTTTTTAAACGGACTCTATTGTATGCGACCCACTATATTTTTTGTAGGACTTATTATTTTACTTTTTTGTATAACCTGAAATGTATCCTCGTTCAACCTCATCCGGTCACTTTGTTCTCAAAATACAGCCCCGAAAGCTATCCCTGATTTTATTTGTGAAAGTAACAAATCAACTTTTCTGCAAGTTGAACCCAACAATATTTGTATGTTTTCCTTGACAAAAGATGGTATTAATGTTGCTTACTTTGAGATATTATAGCCGTTTCTTGATGGTTATGGATTGAATTCCAAGTTTAACACAACTCTTCGTTGCATAAAACAAATCTTCATTACATTAAATTAAAGAAAAGGGAACTCAGAAATCTGAATCCCATTACATCGTTACCAACACTTGGCTGCTCCACACAACTAACACTACACAGCAATACCCCAAAATCACATCTGCGAAATTCTCAAAACCACTTCTTCTCCAAGAAGATCACTTTTTTATCACAGTAGCAAACTAGCCAAGAATAATACAACAAAAAAACAATCCATGCTTCAATGTTAAACCGCTTCCTTCCACCCTACGCATCAAAATCCGTCATCAACCCTCTGATGTATAATTGCATAACATAGCAATAACAATAAATTTCAGGGTTTCCATGACGTCAGAAGCAAAGCTCCGCATCTACGTACATAGTTTTTTTGAAGCAAATGTTTTTAAAATAAATAATATTTTGCACCAATATAATATAAAATAAATTATACTCTTAGCCTACCAATATTGAAGGTCCTTGTTTAAAAATCAAACTCAGTTAATAAAATTTCTTACATAAAAGTAATGAAGTAATCCATTACGAAATAAACTTTCAAACAATAACAACTGCTCGTCCATCAGAAAATGTGCATTCCTACAAATGATATTCAAACTTATTTTAACTAGTCAAACAATGAGTAACTATTACTGTACTGCCATTTCACTCCAAAATTTACATAAATAAACTCATCACTTTTAATTGTATTTTTCGAGGTTGGTGATCTACAGTTAAGATTAAACTGTAGAGGATCTTGGTCATTGAGTTTAAGTATAAATATTAAAGTAAAATGTTATATGCTAACTTCTGAGTGAGGCGATACAGTTCTACTTTTGCAACTGAATATCTGACAACACATGTTTCTTTCTGGAAATATTGGGAAAAACCTCATCAAAATATATATGTCCATATGAAAACAGCCAAGTAGAAGTAAATAAAAACCAAGCAAAAACTGTTACGAATACCTATCTCCACTTAATAAATTCAGTATAACTTGAAAATAAAAACTGCAAACATGGGAGAAAAAGTAGACAAACTTCATAATAATGAATATATAATCTTCATAGAGAATAGCCAACACAATAGATAGTACCATTTGGTCCTAAAACCGTAAAAACCAAAAAAATATTCTCACAAGTTACAGATATAAACGACAATAAACTACATCGAAAATGAAATAAAAATCCTTGCACCTACAAATCAGCTATGAATTTTACCGAGCATCTAATCACCTGAATCTGCAAGCAAAATTTCAATGTAAAGTTAGGAAAAGATAAACTGCATCAACCCCATGCAGGTAAGTAGAGTTAATTAAACCAACCAAACATAAAAAAATTCTGACACATACAAACAAGCACCCAACCATAAGAATACATTGCAGAGGGTTCATTGCTCTTTTTAAATAATAGCCAGGATACACTTTCCATAACTGATGAATAACATTATAAAATTGATAACATTATAAAACAGAGATCTGCTTTTAAACTTCACAAAAAATTCGTTAAAAGAAAATTAAGAATCAAGGACTTAATACAGTTATCATAAAAAAAGTAATTCATAACCTTCTTGAGTCATAACCCAAGAAGTGAAGCAGATCCATTAGTGTAAGAAATCTGAGTTATATCTTGGGTTTTGGGGCGTCAGTGTACATTTGTGGCACCAAGGAAATGCAATTGAACGAGTCAAGCAGGGTTGCATGACAAAGGAATAATCAACATGAATGTGATAAACATATTTGAAGATCCAAAGATGTAACAAAATGCATAACAATACAACCCAGGAGTTCCAAGAATGTAACATCGAAAGACTGGATAGAAATGAGAAAGGACAAACAAATTAAAAAAAGAGGTAGGCTTACCTCATATGTTACTTGGATACATAAATACTCTTACCCGGGCTCCCTGCAATGCATCAAAAGTCAAAAAAATCACAATACTATTAAAAAAACAACTCATGATAAATAATTAAATATCACGCAGTGAAATTATTACCATTGATCTTGGAGGAAGATTTGACTTGAATTTTGCCCGAACAATACCACTGTTACCATGAGGCCTTGTGACCTTACCCCATATGCAGCGGTAGTGACTCTGATTATTCTTCACCTTGGCCTTGTAGATATAGGCCATTCGCTTGCCAGCATACCATGCTACCTCTTCCTTTGTGTTCACCCCCTCGATTTGGATCAGAGATGTGTTTGGGTACTGGTTTGATTTGGATCTGAAAAATACCAGCACTTTATCATTACACCAAATAACATAACAAAGCCCATCTGGCTGAGACTAATGGAAAATCAGACAAAAGTAACATTATGCCAAAGGGCAACTAACCAGACATTTCATTTTGCAACAACCAAACACAAGATGATATACCCGAAATACAAATTAGTAAAACAACACAGTGCAAGAAGCTTTTACCTTTTGTATCCAAGGATTGTGCCCCTCACGTAGAGCCTAATACAAAAGAACAAAAAATTATATTATTAGCTTATTTTACTCACAAATATCAGTTCACAAAATGAGGAACAAATAGCTATGGCTATTCAGGAAGGAATGAATAACAACAAAATAAGATCACTGACATCAACATATCCACTCAAGAACTTTGACTTCATAAAAAAAAAAAAAACAAATATACATTCTGAAATGCCACAAAAACCATAGTTCAAATCCCTTTTTACTGTAAGCATCATAGTCATGAATCAAAATCTACCCTAAAAAAATTGGCATGGGGTTTTGAAAAAGAAAAGGAAAATCTACCCTAAATTTGAGAGTGTTAATAATACACCATAAAATTCAGCATAAGGCAAGTGCTACCAATACAAAACAAACAAACAAACAAATCTAAAATTGAAGAGAAAGCAAAGAGGAAAGAATGGGATTGGAAGAATACCTGACGCGCTCTCCTTGTCGTCCCTTCACCATCTTCGTTGGTTGCTGGAGTTGACACAATGAAGACAGAACAGAAACCAGATATGCGTAAGCGTAACCCTAGAAATCTCAAAATCCGGTTTTTAGGGTTTTTATTTATTTATTAGGAATGGCCCAATTGGAACAGAACAGTATCTTGGTTTAGCCTGTTTTGGATTTTGAGTGGGAACTCATAACCTCTTTTGGGCTTAATGGGTATTGGACACTGTTTTTCAAGACCCAACAAGAATTGAATTTGCAGGCCTGTTTGGTTTATAGCATAAATTTTAGGAAAAAGTATTAGATATTTTAAATGCCTTAAAGTTATGTCATTTTAACGTAGAGATAGATATAAAATAATATTTTTTTATTTAAGATTTAAGTTAAAAAAATCACTTACTTTCTCTTCCATGATTTCCATTCCTTGTATCTATCTCTCTCATAAAATGACATAACTTAGGTCATTTAAAATGACAAACATCAAATCCTAAATTTGAAGTCATTTTGTATGGTAAAAGGAATTTTTAAAAAATGTGGGAATCTAATATATATATATATATATATATATATATATATATATATATATATATATATGAGTGTGTGTTTATGAATGGTTTGATTTAACCTGTATATCAAATCATAAAAATAAAATTAATAATTAGGCCACCAAGATAGTACAAGAATAAAATCAAATAGTAATTTAATTCGTATTAGCCGATTTACTTAGTTCGGTTTGGGTTAGAAATTTTAATCACCCAGTGAACCTATTTCCATTATGTTATGAATTATTTCACAGGTTGGCTACAACTTCTGTTAAATTTAATTTTGATTCAATATTAATGTAAAATATTTTTAAATAAATAAAACTTTTAAAACAAATAAACTTTCTATACCACACCCAAAAAATAAATAAACTTTCTATAAAGATGCCAAAATTTGTAAAACCGTTATAATAAATTTGAAAATCTTTTATTTTCGGTATAAGATTAAAAACTTACTTTTTCATTTTAATTATTGTTTCCATTCATATGATAATTACAATTTATTGAATTATATATATTAATTAATTATTAATTATAGTAAATTATAATTATCTTATCAATGAAAAATGACTAATATAAAAAATAAAACTTCATTAATCTTAGAGTAAAAGATCCTTCATGAGTATATTTATTTATTAATAATTTTACAAACAATTAAACGAAAGGAATAAAAACAGTATGTTTGATATATATATATATATATATATATATATATATATATATATGGGAAAACATTTTCTTCTTTTAAAGGAGAAAATTTTTCTCATGTTAGTGACTCAAAGCATATGAGGGTCCCACCTTTAATTTTTTTCTCTTTCCACTATTTTGTGGGACCCACTTATACAATGTGTCACTAACATGAGAAAAATTTTCTCCTTTAAAAGGAGAAAATGTTTTCCCATTTATATATATAAAAACTGTTCTGAAAACCGATTTTGGGAATTAAAAAATAGTAAAATTTGTTAAAGGGGATCTTCTTATTTACGAAAGTACCATTAATAAAATTTCATAATTACAAGATTGTCATTGTAAAGCAATTTAAAATTAAAAAAATTAAATTAATTTACAAAAGTACCATTAATAAATTCTTATATTTATAAAATTGCTAACTCAAAAATAAAAAAATAAACAATTTTTGAAATCCTCGGGTTTTTCTGATTTTTTAGTTTTTAAAACAAAAAAATAATCATGACTTTTAGAATCATTTTCAAAACAACTTCTTCAAACAAATTTTTTTATTTTAAATGTGTACCGTTGGAATCTATAAGCCTACAATGTTCCCTTTGGAGATGATGTCACTATATGGATGATACCTTTAGCGAAGGTAAAGACCAGGCTAGAAAGTACTGTTCCAAATATGAAGCAAGCTAATAACCAAGGAAGGTTGGGTGTGTGTATTGTGTGACTTAATACAAATGTACATAATAACGATACATAAGATGCCTTTCTTTTGTGTCCAGAGCTGTATTTATAGATGAAGGTCCCATTGATCTTCTGTGGGTTCAAGGGGAGAAGGTCAACTCTTCTCGGGTTCCGTTAAGGGTGGCAGGCGCTACTAAAGGCGGCAGGTACTGCTATGCCTGCCAAGTGATGCACCCCCTGCGCCTGGCGATTGTCAGCATGAGGCATATGACAGTTGCCTCTTATGGCATCTGGGGCGGTCTCCTTTGGGAGTTATAATCCCTAGATGAGACATTTTGGTGTCTCACTTGGGGAGCATCATTGCCTTGGGTTCTTCGTGGTTGAAGGCTGATAGTGCTGACGTGGATATGGTTTTGGGCCCTGACCTTGGGCCACAAGGTCATTGGGCCATCCAGAACATAAGCCTCCCAACTCGGTAGCAAGTATAACTTGGTGCTAAGATAAGCGGTCTTGGGCGATACTCTTTAGCTGGCTGGATAGGGTTTTGGGCCCCAAGGTCATTGGGCCATTCAGAACAAAATGGGAGATTATATTTACTACTTCTTTTTCTTACTATCTCTTACTACTAAATATCAACCGCTGATTTCTGCCAATTTAACGCTTATAATTTATGGAGACATACTTATTAATTAATTATTAATTTATAATAAATTATAACAGTTAGATTGACGAAAATTAACGAATACGATTTGGTAGTAAGAGATTAAGTTGTCAAAATGGACCAGTCCGACCCATTTAGCTCTAGCCGCGTGGGGTAGGGTCAAAAAAAGCCCACAATGATACATGCCCACATGGGACAAAAGTCCTAAGGGGGTGTTTGGTACAAGAGAAATTTTTTGGTATCCGAGAATCACGATTACTGAGAATAGAATAGAAATTGAGTTTACCCGGAATGTTAAGAAAAAGATGTTTTCTTCGCCAAAATTTTACCGGGAATTTTGGATAAAGATTATTGATTCCATGTTTGGTTTAGGAGGAAATATGACTTGGAATATGAGATTATTTTACAAAAATAACCCTTTCAACTTTTAAATTATTATTTTCAATGATTGCTTTTAGGAAATTTGTAATTAACCTGAAGTTTTGAACCACTAGCAGTACTAAGCCGTTCAGGAGTCTTTTCAAAATATTTAGTAGGAATTAACGACTATTTTTACTTTTCTAATTGATAGACGTACCTCCACACCCGTTGAAAGAAGGATCTGTCGGTGAACATCAGGTTTTGTTCAACATCTCTCCCACCTCTTCATATACTGCATCTGGTCTCACGAAGAGATGTGAGTGCTTGAGGAAAACTCTTGAATTTCAACTCCAGATCCTTAGAAAATGTTCGACACTCTTTAATTGCTTGCTTAAAATTGAAATAAAATCTACAATGGTTGCAGTTCTGTCAGATACTTCACTAAGTTTTCTTGAATTTGTTTGTTCCTGGTCTTCTTCTTTTCTTGTGGATTAGGTTTTGAGTATTGATTATAGCTCAGCGATGAAAAGAATGGTACAAATGCAATATCTGCTTCACTGGAGTTTCGAACTCGAATTGTTGTCCCAGCCTTGGACGCTTGAGTAATTTCCAAAGCAAGAAGGTCCAATGTAAGCCAAAACTCTATACTATGTTGCAAATTCAAACCTCCATTGAAGAACAAACTTCGAAGCTTACCGACGATATGTCGGAGGTATTATTGTCTCAAAAATATATTGATATGCTTTCTCTTCCCCCACTGATCATGAAACCCACGTTTTTTTTTTTATAATCACAACAGTAAACAATTTTTGTAATATGCTTTACCGGTAAACCGTAGATATCTGGGAACTCACTCATTTGTGTTACTTGTACCAAACATGGTAATTAAGGTTTACCAAAGAAGGTTTACCAGTAATCTACAAGATACTCTTGTACCAAACACCACTTAAGGGTCAGGGCTAGCCCATGGGCTTTCCAAAAATTTAATATGTATTTTTTTGTTAAAAAAAAAATTCATGTTTAAAATATTCTCTGTTGTAATACATTCTAAGGTTTCCACAAAGTTAAACATAAATATCACTGATTTACATACCCAAATATATTACAAACTCATATGTCTTAGTAGTGTTCCGGATTGAGGTTGGACAAGAAACAATGACCAGGTTACAACATGTATTTACAACCATAAAATATAATGTAATAAGTATTTACTAGTTTGCAGTTTCAAAATTATTCACTTTGCAAAGAACCTTATATATTTCATCCCATACTGAGACAACCACTGGTTCAGGGCCCAATTAATTTTTGTAAATTTTTTGCATTTCTGCCACAACAGCATAAGCTAATATATACTGCTTTAACAATTAAGTTTTTAAAAATCTTTATCAAGAGTCATGATGAGACAAAAATTCCAAATAGCAAAAGAACAAATCATTTCTCAAGAAACTACCTGATGACTTTCAAATGAGGGATTGAATGAACATCCTGGAAGATCAACCTCTACTGCTGGAATAAGATAAGGCTTGATATCTATCAAGAAGGCAGGCAACATATTATCAACTGAAACAATAATATTAAAGAATCCTATGATCAAAATGCCACAAACTAACATGGAATCATCCTGATATAGATCATGAGTGAGAAGAAAAATTAGTTATGTATCAGGGTCAATAAGCCAAGGCATTGTTATGTATCAACCATATACCACATTTGAGGAATTTCTCAACATCCAAGCAAGGATACAGAATGAGCAATAAACAAAAAAGAAGAGCATAACAGAAGAAACTCATATAGGATCTGAAAAGAAGACAAATTTCAGGGAACAGTGGGGTTATTCTACCGAGAAAATTCATAGCAATGAGCACCAATACCAAACAAACATGGCAAGAGAAGTGTGCAGCTGATCTCATAAGCTATGTTTTTCTTTACTAATATCAAAACAGAAAAGATATGAAAATTTAAATCAAATAAACCGTTAGTTAGTTAGTTATATTTGGAAAGCTATGTTTTTTGAAAGTTATTAAAGGAAATTGTCTTTACTAATATCAAATCAGAAAAGATATGAAAATAACTGTGTTAGTTAGTCACATATTTGGACAGCTATTTATTTGAAAGTTATTAATGGGAATTATCTTTACTGATATTAAATCTTTAAAAGATATGAAAATTTAAAAGAAACAAATCGAGTTACACATA